GGCATCTCAAACCTCAGCTGTGCTATTAACTGGAGCGATGACTCATTCATGCTCATACAGTAGTAATGATCCCCAGGTTTATAAGGGGGCAGTAGTGTCAGATCCTAATCTGAAGGAAACATGTATTATTTGATTTTCTTTCAGAAGATTTTTTCCTGTACAAGTAAATCACGTGCTATAACCCTCAAAGTACATATGTGTAACACATGTCATAATGTGAAAAGAAGGTAATGGCTTTTGCTGATGGGAGATTTTAAAACATTTCCCTCAGAAACATATTGTGCATGGATGTAAGCCCACCCTACCCTCAACTCACACTGGTCTCTTTCAGGAGGTCCCCTTGGACTCTAAAATAAAAGAAGTAGTCATCCTGTGTGCCACAGATGCCAGTCCAAAAAATGGAAAAATAAAATTATTTGTTACTTCCTTAGGTTAGGGTACAGCCAACCAGCTTCACAATTGTCTTCTCCATTAAGTTGATGCTGTTGAATTGGGTTAGATTCATAATTCCTGGAGTCTTAAGGCCCTAGATTACAGGTACACCGAGGTCTTCATTGTGTAGCATCCCTGTAACAAGTCCTTGCTTCCTTCCAAGTGAATCCAGACATCTCCCCCGCTTCATTTAAATTAAATCTTAATTTTCACCTACGGGAAGTAAAAGTCTTTGTGTTTTCTCTTGCGGAAGGTGGTTCATGATAGGTAATGTTCTGGAAGAAATGAAATCCAGGGAAGATCTACAACAGCTTTTAAGTACAAAGGAAAAACTGAAGCATTTTTAGGGTGACACGAAGCACTTGGATTTGGTCAGGAATTTATTAAGAAGATAGCAGATCCATCATTTGAGGGCATGGAGAAAACACGATGGAGTAAGTTAGGAGGGGGTCAGGGTCGGTGATTTCTGCAGGAAGCTGGGCAACTCTGAGGATGAGGCACTGCACACACAAGGAGCAAAGGCAGCTGCTGCTGGCTGGCTCCTCCTGCGCTACCCTCTGGTTCCAGACCGTATCTCAATACACAACTTATACTCTGATAAGCTCACCAGGCTGACCACTGTTACTTAATTTTAACTCCTAACTCTGGAAGCACATATAATATATAGGGTTTCCTCTTCTACTTCAACCCCGCCAAAAATGTTAATATCGTGATACATGTTTTGAATCTGTTCAAACTCCTTAATATTTACTGGGTTAGTGAAACTTGTCAGACTAGTAACATGCAGAATAAGGAAGCAAAGAGCGGATTAACTACGTTTCACCTAAGGTGAGAGGACTATGAATAGATCAGTGGATAGAATAACGAAGAGGAATCAAAACTCCTAGGTGAGAGTAGCAAATATTTGTATTAATTCTGACATCATCAAAATAATTAATAGGAATAACTAACTTGTCAGATCATGGAGGTTATTTTTATTAAGACTATATAATTTTAAAGTGCTCCTGTCACTTTTCACTCATAGCTGATTTATATTTTGGCATGGTTTTTATTTCATTAGAATTTCAACATTGCTTCCTGATCTGGATTTGCATCATTTGTTAACCATTTTTTAAATGTGCAAGTTAATGAAATACTTTTATGTAAGCAGGAAATTAAGCAAATGTGTATTTATGATAAGAATGTTATATATTATTGGAAGTAGAATCTCTGTGATACAGATGAAACGTCTATCCACAGTCAAGTCACAGTTGTGTCACTTTGCATTTGTATGACCCCTTAAAATTTTTGCATACCCTTTATTTGAGAATAAGATGGTCATTAATTTGTATTCATTTTGAAGTGTGTTAACTGTCCATTCAAATATACATAAATACTACATATACACACATGTTAATTGTAACTTCACCATTCATAGGCTGTGAAGGCATGGAATTTCAGGAGGTTGATAATTGGGATATGAACTTTTACCACTTATCAAACTGTTACTACCACACTGACTATATTATAAACAAAAATGGAATATCACCTTTCTTTTTGAAAGACTGGTTATAGATGTTAAATTGATCTTAAGTGCAGCCATTCAAAGGGATCACTTACTGGAGGAGCTTCATACTTCACTCAAGAAATACACAGAGAAATGTAGGTCACAGGATCTACTAATATTAGAGGGTAAGGTTCCTTTGAGAATCTCATGAATGTTAAAGTTCCTCTCCCGGAACAGTACTTACAAGCACAGGAGTGGGAAGGAATTTCAAGCATTCACATTCATAGATCCTGACTAAATACTACTATTTCTGTTTTAGATAACCATATAGAGGGATTCTGATGGCATGGTTTTCTCCTTTGCAGATTTGTGGATTTTACGGAATATTACGACTTTTTGTTACAGACTGTAATATTGAATTTCTTTTCTGCCCACCTCCACTTCTTGCTTTACCTATATTTCATCTGAAACAGACAGCTTTTAAACATCCTGATTCAGTCCACACCCACCACTACTGCTCTCCAGCATCTTTCATCAAATTCTTTATTTTATTTTCCAGGGGGGAGGGGGCGGGTTTCCGGTACCGGGAATTGAACTCATAACCTTGCGCTTGCCAGGCAGGTGCTGTGCCGCTGAGCTAAATCCCCAGCCCCCAAATTCTTAATCACAATGGATAGCAGTAAAGAAGGGAAAGGAGACTGTGAACCAGGTGAAAAAAATGCAAAAAGCAGTGGATGTGGACAGAAACAGCAATTGTAGTCAGTTCCGAAACTAGTAAATTAGGCTGCAGTAATGCCAAACAGAGGTTAATAGTCTGAAAAATTAAACTAAGGGCTTCACCAGTTCGCCATTCCACTAATCTTAAACAAATATTTTAAATTCTTTGATGCTGGGTTCATTTGAAAAAAACCATGAAAGTCTTCAGCCATTTGGCCTGAATTTCACCTCCAACAGTAAAATATGAAATTGATTTTTAACTGCAGAGTTGTGTAACAGTGTATTAGGTTATCACATTGCTCTATAATGTGACTTGATATGATTTGGAGGAAAGTTACTCATTATGACATTCACTGTATGAAACGGCAGCCCGGTGGACAGATGCAGGGCGGGGGTCGTCCTCCTCGTCATCCTCATCATCCTCATCGTCATTGTCGTCGTCATTGTTTTGATCGATTAGTCTAACAGCTCTACATTCTTTTTCTGTTTGTACAGTTTTAATCCCCGTGTTTTCTTCTCTTCTTCTCACTCCTCGGCCTACTCATTTATTTCATTTATTTCATTTTACTAGTGGTTCTCAAGATTAATGCCTCAACCATGGTCTTAAATACATCTGCTTATATTAACAACAACCACAATGAAACTTAGCTGAAGTATTTTTTCTTTATTTTCTTGTCTCTTTTTCCTTTTTCTTTTTTTGGTAACAAGAATCGAACTCAGGGCCTTGAACTTACTAGGCAAGCACTGGGCCCACTGAGCTACATCCCCAGCCCTAGCTCAAGTATTTTAAAACGCAGACATTCTTAGACTATCAGAACGGCAAGTTCTTATTTTGTAACTTCAACAGAAATTGTTATAGAGCTCTAAAAGTATTTCTATTTCAAAAATACAAGTAAGTAACAATCCTAATAAAGGATTGTTATCTAGTACTGATTTAAATTTTTAGGCTCTAGTGTCAATAGCAATCCAGTAAAAAAGTAATTCTTGAAATAAAATCCCAAGGTTCCATACTACTTAATAATTACTGCTAAGTGTTGAATTAGAGTATTACTTTATGCTTACCAAAAATATTGGTTTTGAAAAGTAAACATTGTAGCATTATGATGTTGATCACCAACATTGATTTAAAATTTTGATATTATATAAACATAGGGCACAAAGATTTCAGGTGTGGTAATGTGAATTAGATTCAGTAACAGTGAATTAGATTTCCATTAGGTAGTGTTCATTGAGAAGGGATATACATATGCAGGCTTTAAAGAAAATTCATAAAGAGAGGCATTATAATTGAAAATGCCAGCAGGCCTTATTTGGTATCACCAGCAGAGCTTGCAGTGTTCTTCATGTGAGCTTTCATCACCATTCACAATTCTCCCCCTTTTAAAAATGCACTATTACATTTCTGATGGACAATTCATACAAATTAATAGCAAATTGTAGAGAAACTGCTCTTTTTCTTCAGTACAATTTAGAGGGAGAAAGACATTAGATGCAAAGAAAGAAGGCACTAATTTTTATTAAGCTTTCTTATATTTATTGTGCCACATTTTGACCACAAGTATTAGTAGATAAAAACTTTTTTTGATTCTTTTGGTGTAGAAATTTTATTTTTCATTTTCTTTATCAGGCAGACCACTGATGAGTTCAAGCCACTCTTTTTCCTTTCAGAGACCATTTAATTTGATAGACATAACATTCTATAGAAAGAGTTTAAGGGGTAATAGTTTGCTACCATAAAGAAAGCAAGGTAATATTGATATCAGAAAGCAAAGTAATATTGATAGATTTTGAAAGTAAAGGATCTTTGCGGGCGTTTCAAGCTCTGAGAAATTACACGGCCATGGTAAAGAGCAGGCTAGTTAAATTGAAGAAGTCAAAGAAAGGCATCTTTCTTTACAGATATGTAAGCTCCTGGAAATTAGTGGAAGATAGTCCTAAGTAGCTAACAGCGAACCCCGGGTGCTAACTTCTCTGAAGCGCTGAAATAGGAAGTGGGGGAAGGAACTTGTAAAAGAAACCCTTGGGGATTCCCCTGTGATCCCTTTAATCCTTGAATTGTCAAACCACATGGAAAATAATAGAGCTGCCTGGCTGTAAGACTTAAGTGGCATTATCTTTTAAAAGAAAATATTAGGTCTTTTCGTATTGCTGGATAAGAACAGAGTATGTGTGCAAGTATAGAAAAGAGTAACTTTGAGCCAGAGATGCGTATGGCCTTTTCATTTTTCACATAACATTATTATCTATGACTAAGCAGGCTGCATCAAGTAGGGAAAAAACTGCAGCTAATATTTTATATATATATATATATATATATATATATATATACACACACATATATATATATATTTTTTTTTTCAAACAGATGATTCAACGGGAAGCAGATGTAAAAAGTAAGGTAACCGCTGTGGCGTTAACAGACTCTGTTCACAACGTGTGGCATCAAGAAGCTGGCAAAACGATCCGGGAATGGATGAGAGAGGTGAGACTTGGTTTGTTCAGTGCTGAGCCGAATGTCTCTGAGCTTTTATGTCTTGAGGACCACTAACTTTTATCCCCTTTCTCTCCCACGCTCCTTTTCTAGAGGCAGAACATCAAGAATGAATAGGGGGAAAAACTACATATGGTGAAAAGACCAATAGAAAACCCCTCAGGAGAACACACACTTTCTGAGAGCACTCTTTGCCTTCTGGCTTTCTGTAGAGTATTATCATATAACATGGTTTTTGTACAATGTATAGAAAACATGTTAGAAATTTGCCTAAAGACAGATGTGGTGTTACAAGATTATTTCTCATTATTTTATTTTTTCACCAGCTAGGTACCACCAATGCTTAATTATAAGAAAGAAGCTCAGTGTCCACATGGGCTTGTCCTGTTCTTGAAGGCGGTCAGGTTGTGATACTCTTAAATCAAGTGGCTCACTGCCTATAGGGAAGAGGAAGGAAAACACTGGGTGTTAAGCCAGACTCAAGCTAGGAGAACCCCAGGAGCTGGCCATGGTCCAAGTTCAGGCTAAGAAAGCATCTTTTCACACTTCCTAAGGGCTGGGCTACCTGCAAACTCACTGCATCCCTTCCTTTTCCTTCCAAAGTTCCAGTTCATTATTTTTTGTGTACTATTAGTGATATCCAGCTGGAATTCTCTTTTTTATTTACATTTACCTTTCTAATAATATAAACAACTTACCTCAGCTGCCCCACAGTAAATCAACAGTAATCATAATAAATCAATGACCAGTCAGCTGTAGTAATATTTAGCGAAATTATTTACTCACACTTATATGAGTGAACTGATTGACCTTCTGAGATTTCTCTCAGTGTTTCTAAATAGAATACCTGAGTGTGTCTTCATCTAACCTACGGTGAGAGAGGTAAACTCGCCCAGCCCTCACAGCACATGGTAAGGATCAGAGAATTAATACTTGAGAAGAATTTTGGGTAGAAGAATTAGGCTATATAGTGGGGTACCACCAACCTGTGTCGCTATTGTTATTCTCCATTAGAAAATACATTTTATCACACAGATGCCTAAAATGGCTTTATCCAAAATACATTAAGAACTCAAAACAGTTCAATCACAGGAAAACAAATAGCACAATTAAAAATCGATACATATTTTGCATATACTTTATCTGCTTTGTGGGAAACAAGATTGTGGCAAAGATAGGCACTGGAATACTGTCCAACCTTGCAAAAGAAGAAAGCCTGGCATTTGTGATAACATGGATTAACCTGGAGGACATTATATTAAATGAAATAAATCAGGAACAAAAAAATTTTTTTTTAATTTAAATGAAACGGTTTTCTTCCTGTCCTTGTAGTGCTGTGAGCGTACTGGGTGGGGTTTAAATCTGTTCTAGCACACATGTTCTTTCACAGGGAAGCTCATCTCTAATTGCCTTCTCCAAGGAGCTAAACTTTTGCGAGACAGAACTTCATGCGTTCCTTGCCTGCACCTTGTTATGCTGTTTATTTCCCCAAATGAATACAAGACGCCTCCTAGCACTAAGTGGCAAAATTAATAAATGACCCCTTAGTGACTCTTTCCCCTACACATAATCAGTATACAATTTGGTATTTGACTCAAACTAGAAACGTCCCTGTTCGTTCTCATTTAATGGAAAATTCTTCATGCAAATCTCATTCTAGGTGACAAATTTAACAAAATGTATTTAGATGTACCTTTTAAATACAAGGACAGATCAAGAAATATAGTATATGTTTAAAGTTAAAAGTTTTACTGCAGTGGAAGATACATTTCCATTCATTTTTCTCAGAATACTTCCCCCAGCCTCAAACATACTTATCACCTGACCTGGTACCATGTGACTTCAGGCTCTTTCCTGAAGACCTGACTATGAAAGGTAAACATTTTGCATCAATTTAAGATATTGAGGCAGCCAGGACAGCCCAGCTAAACCCATGAACGAGGACTCCAGAGCTGCATCCCAAAGTGGCAAGAACCACGGGATCAGTGAGTTTACAGTGGAGGGCTATTTGGAGCGGCATTAATGGCAATGTGTCTTTTGCTGTAATGCATTTTGCAGAAATGTTGAAATACTCACCTTATTTTTTGATCATACTGCATATATAGCTAAGGCTCGATTAGGTGTTCCTTTCAAAAAATCAGTATGTATTAGTCTGTGCAGTTCTCATCTGACTTACTGAAACAGGGAATAGTTCAATTCATCTTAATTTAAGCAAGGCTGCCGTTTCTTTGCAAGCATAGCTCTTATAAAATTTATAAACTTTTAGACGTGCCCTACTTCTTGGAAAGTTCTTTCAGTTCTTCCCGTTATGCCTTAGGGAAGAAGTATGAAGAATTTGTGTTCTGACCTATCAAAATGAAACTCCAGCTAAATTATCTCCCTAGTTGTTAAAGTCTTAAGCAAGTAATTCAATCTCTTGGAGATTCAGATTTCTCAAAAATATAGAACACCTACCTGGGAAACACAAGGAGAAAACAACTTGTGTGAGGAAACGGCACTGTTGTTGGCACTTTACAGAAGTGCAGCAAATTACAGATCTTTCTGTTGTGACTTCTATGCCCAAATAAGATAAAGCATGTGAACTATATCCTTTTGTTTTCTTGATTTGACTATTCAGATTATCTCCCAAAAGGGAAGCAGAGTAACATGTTGGGAGAATTCAGAACAAGCACTTAGGCAAATTGAGTTTTGATTCAGCTAGTCACTCACTAGGTAAATCAGTACGTAAGGACCTGGTGTATACTGGCTACTAAGACTCATCATTTTAGATAAGCCAATCCATCTTTTCAGGCCTGTTTCATAATTATGAATGAGAGCTAATAACTCCTATCGCTACTTTTGAACTGTTACGAGAATCAAAGGTGATGATCAAAAAGAAAACCCCCTGAAAAGCAAATGGTAGTGCCTAAAGAAATGAGATATATTATTACAGAAAACACTATACAATCTTAGAGAGAAAAATTATTAGATCATTCTTGGTAGAGCTTTGAAATTATCCCTGCTGAGACCTCTTCTCCAAAACAAGAACAAAAGCGAAGGGATCAAACCTGAGACATGCGTCCTAGTCTGACTCGCCTCGGTGGGTGACCCCTCGCAGAGGAGATTTTCGTGCTTTAGCAAGACCAGAGGCAGTGTTTGCCGACACTCAGGACAAAACTCGCCTCTTCTTCCTCCTTTCTCAGTGCCTTTCCACTCTGTAAGGCACTTCAGAATCGGGAAGAGCCGGCAAGCCTGGGCTCCCGTCAGTGGAATGGGCTGTGGTCTTGGGTGTGGGTGCTGAGAGCCGAGTGTGATGAGGCAAACTGCCGCAGCAGCCCCTACCTGCCCGCCTCCAACTCTAGCTGCATTTGGGACCAGCAGACAGACTGATATTGTGCAGCTACCCGCCCCAGAGAAGCGCTCTAGCCAACCTGGAACACTGGCCACACAAATACTGTGAAGAGGCTGCTAACACGTGGAGGCCTTGGTGCTTGTGTCGTCTTGAAGACTGGCTTTAATATTTCACCAGAAACTGCTGTGAACTTTGGAAGTGCCACCGTGGTGAGAACCGCCTAGTTATTCTTAATACTGTCCTAAAAAGCAGTAAAGTAGTTTTTTGACTGGGCGTGGTGGCGCCCAGTTACCTGGCACTCAGGAGGCTGAGGCAGGAGGAGCACTATGAGGCCACCCTGGGCTACAGAGTGAACTCAAGACCAGCCTGAACTACACAGCAAGACTGTCTTAAAAAATAGTTTTTTATTTTGCATGTATGCTTAATGTGGTAGTCATTTCACAGTATTCATTTACTATAAAAAGCTCTTATTTTAAACTTATCAATTTAACATACACTACAAAGGTTAAGAAATATATCCTTGTATCATATAATTTTTACATAACAGTTCCTTTTAAAAGAAGATCAAAGAGGGCTGCTTTGATAATTAAGTAAAACTCCCAGCTAAAGTACAGAAGCTATGCTGGGCTCTTGAGGAGAGGTAGAAAGTGACCAAAGGTGTCTCCTCAGAGGAACTTCTCACATCGCTTCCACCTCTCTCTGCTCTGAGGGCAAAAGTTATTTGCTGACATCCCTGTGGCTTCTGAAAGCCTCCAGCCAAGCTGGATCCGCAGGCTCCATAGCCGTCTTGGACCCTTTTGTATGGCCCTTGAGCTCTCAGTGTAGGCCCAGCCTGGGGAATCACACTTCAGCTCCTCCGAAGACACAGCGTCTTTCATATTAGACATCAACCTTTAGGCACTGGTTATTTACAACTCAGACAGCTACAAGAGAAAATGAGTAAAATCCAAAGATGGTGAACATATTTTTCATGTGCTTATTGGCCATTTGTACTTCTTTTGAGAAGTGTCTATTCATTAAACACACAAAAAACTAAATGCTCCTGAGGAATGAGGGACAAAGGAACCCTCCTAAATTGTTGGTGGGAATGTGAACTAGTACAACCACTATGTAAATTAGTATGGAGAGTTCTCAAAAAACTAAAACCAGCAATTTCATTCAAGCAATTATTATATCTTTCCTGGTTATATTACTGAATGTGTTAAAAACATCATACTGTAGTGATAAATACATATCCATGTTTACAGCAGCAAAATTGATAACAGCAAAGCTGTGGAAACACCATAAACATCCATCAACAGACTGATGGGTAAGAAAATGTGGCATATATGGTATACACCATGGAATATTATTCAGACATAAAGAGGAATGAAATCATGCCATATGCAGGAAAAATGGATGAATTGTTTTTATTTTATGGAAAGAGGTAAAACAAAATTTCATAACAAGATAATAGGTGAATAACAATAGTTAATATATTGTATATTATTATCTTTAAACTAGTTACTCATAAAAATTCTCCAATATTGATATAAGCACAAACCTTCCTTTTCTATGAGGTAAAAGACACTAATAGTATAACTAACTTGCATTTTCTCTCTCTTCCTTTCCTTCCTTTCCCCTTGCCCCATCCTAATTCCTTTTTTTCCTTTTTAACAGTTTCTCCCCATTTCACAACATCTATTGTACATTTTAGACCTTATTTACTCTTTCAGTTTCTCACACCAGGGAGACAGTGCGATGTTTACACATGCGGGTCTGATTTATTTCACTAGTGAGTATGGTCTCAGGTTGCACCCAGAAACGGATGACTCTTGAGACCATAATGTTAAGTGAAATTAGACACTGAAAATGGGATAATGTGTGGTTTCTATCACATGAGAAACCCAAACTATAAAGGAGAGATGATCGGAAACAGGGAGGCAGACTTTTTAAAGGTGGGAAGGGGATCGGGAGGGTGGAGAGGGGAGGGTGGGAAGAGGGAAAGGGATCAAAACAGTGAAGATGCGCTATATACACATACCGGGGCCCTAGAACAGATATACCCACTCTGTATCGCAAACATTTAAAAAAAGCCTAGATTCGACCAGCACTGCAAACGTCTCCAAAGTCCTTGCACAGGAAGAGCTACTATCTACTTTCCTAAACATAATACACTAATATAATACACTGAATTCTAGTACTATCATAACAACTTTATTTCCATTCTACTTCAAGCTGTTTGTTATCAACCCCCGGTTCTCGTCAAAGGGCTACGGTCTAGAGGCACTTCCTAAACTTTTGGCTTTTACACAGGGAAGATTTAGAACCGCAAAAATCCAGAGGGTCATAATCTTACAGCAGGAAACCTTTAAATCGAAAACACTTAATTTTAAGAAACACGCACTGCATTTCCTGCTCTCCTCTTTCTCGTTTACTCCTGGTGCAGCTCTAGTTACTCAACCTATCCCACCTGCCATCTCAGGGCCGGGTTTCCTTCTTTATGCTTGTTCGTGTGAAGGGGCGCTGCATCTGAGACTCAGGCATGGCACTGTTGGTACCCAGAGTCATTGCTGCCTACTCGGGGCACCTGAGCATAAGACCTCAGCGTCTGCCGGCGCATGCCAGCATATTGCGAATTTAGCTAGGGCTTTCTTAGTGGGCTGCCCATGTTGCTGCCGGGGACACATCCGTCATCTTCATCCCTACGAAAGAATGGTGGTGGGGTGGGGGACAAATGTGGGCTTCACAAGAGAGGTAGATGAACATAGAAAGACAATGACAGAAGTTTGGTTTTTAAGCTATAGAAACACATCTCCGGACAGGGAATTACATGTGATACAATGGAGTTTCAGATGGATTAAATTCATAGGTAATGGCTGTCTCTCTTTACATATATTTTTCAATGTTTATATTTTTATTTCATTATTTGCTATCATATGGCAAATATTTTTATCTTGTTTTGCCCTGTTTTCATATGCTTTTCCCACTGGGGTAAAAATACCACATGTGTACACACACACACACACACAGTCTTCACACTAATAGCTTCAAACCTTCCCAGTCCTACAGAACTTTTGGGCATACTCACTTTAGCTACAGGGTTCTTAGCTTCTATCTGATTTTTATGAGAACGTAGCATGTGCCTAGATAAAAACTGAAATTTTGCTTTCAGCGTTTGAGTTAAAGCCAGGTTCTAAAAAATAAACGAAAGTTCATTTTTCTAGCTTTTAGAACTCACCAAGTTAGGAAAACAGTTAATACCCCATATTATCATGTGCCATCACTTGTATTAATACTAGAAAATCCTGTAGGACATAGTTTTACATATGTAAAATGTAGGTAACAGTATTGAGACTGACATATCACCTGGGTAATAGCCAACTTTCATCAGATTTGGAGCTACTAGGAGGATGAATAATAATTAAAATATATACCTAATCGCTGCCTGTCTGTTGGTAGTGCTAATTGCTGTCATTGAAAAGACTGAATTGTTTAAGAAAAAGGGAAAGAGAAAGTCATTCTTCATTGAAGCTATCTTCCTGTATCATTGCGAGCCTATTTTTAGTACCTATAGAAGTCATGGTTTTGAATTTATTAGGGGCTGTGATGAATGATAAAACAAATCATCCATTTACATATCTTGACACTGCTTTGGAGAATACTTATTTCTTACATGCAAGTGTCACATTGTATATAAAAGCTGGCTAATTGTGTGCTAATCTTCTGCATTATCAAGAATTCTCTGATGTGGTGTTCTATCAAGGGTAATATTAATTTTACTTATTTCAAATGTATGAAATATCTTCTAAAACCCTACTTCTTTTATAATTTCTCCTCTCTTACATTGTGTAATTTTGCATTCATCTGCTAATTAAGATTAGGAATGTATGTTATAGAATATGTATCCATTTAAAACTGTCAAGCTTTTGTAATCCATGAGAAATAATAATATTTTATCCATTTTAAATATAAAAAGAGAGAAAGCATTTAAGAACATTACTAGATGTTGTGTTTGTTTTCATGGGTTTTTTTCCTACACAGTTCAATAGTTTCATTGATCCAGTGTTTCTTACAAAAATCTGCCATGCTTTGTGAACTTCACTTTCTAATCTCATACAGCAACCCTTCCTTTATATTACTGCGGCTCGCCCTGGTCCCAGAACAGTAGGGTTGCCTTGACAAATCTATTCAATAGCCATTCCTCGGCCTTTATTGGTGGGGACTAGGGCCTTTGAAATTCTCTCCTCACTGCAACACAGCTGACATCTTCTTCCAGACAGAATGAATTAAGGAAATACAATAAGACACTTGATCTACCAGTCAAGGATCTTTCCACAGTGAGGACGGATTCCATGGTGCACAACCAGGGCAGCAAGCATCTAAAAATACACAATGCATCCTTGTTTACTAGAATAGCAATCACCGATTTTTCCAACGTGATTGATGGGATGATTTCTTTTAAAATAAAATCTGTCTGGAAATTCATTGTGTGTGTGCGTGTGCGTGTGCGTGTGCGTGTGTGTGTGTGTGTGTGTGTGTAATTTTTAAAAATCATATGAGGTTAATCATATCTTCTAATCTAGAGTTCAAATTCAGACTTAAAATATATGAAATGAAGATAGTATAGTTTTATTTCATTTTTCTGTATTAGAGAGTGATCATTAATATTGAAAGCTTTGTATCCTCAGACACACAACTACAATTCACAAGGCTGTATTTCTAATCTATATAACTATTTGGGTATAGCTTTCATTGAAGCAAGTCAACATAAAAATTAAAAGCATATACTTATAAAAAATAGTATACTTACATGGGGCAGGTTTTTGACAAATTCATTTCTTCTAGTGTTATACAAAGAGTATAGTTTACATGTTAGTTATTCCATTACCTGTTCAAATCAATATTTATTTCACTCTCAGAGTTTAGAATGGTACATTTTTAAGTTTCCCTTAATTTTAATCCCTTTACTTGTTTATTTCTTAACCATCTAATCTTCTCTTAGAAATATATTGCAACATAGCTCCCAAGTTACATGCCTTCTTATTATCAGTGAAGATAAGTTGCTGAATTGTAAAAGAAACTTTTCCACAGACATGTTGTTCACGAATAATTACTGTTTACCTAAGAAAAAATTAAGTATATGGAAATAAATGCACTTTCAGTGATTGATTTTATAGGGTACATTTAGCTTTTCCACTTAAATATCTGGTCTTTGCTTAAGTTGTGTTTCAACAGTATTGTCTCTATTGCATTGCAGAACTGTTGTAATTGGGTCTCTAGCTCAGAGCCATTAGACACGTCAGTGGAGTCCATGCTGCCCGACTGTCCCAGAGTCTCAGCAGGTATGTGTTTGATGAAAAATGTGTATTTAAGTAAAAAGTGCGCCAATGAAATGTAGAATTCAAGGACTGGGGTGTAGTTCAGTGGTAGAGTGTTTTGCACACACAGGGCTCTAGGTCCCATACACAGCACCACAAAACAAACAAAATACAGGCATAAAGAAATGTAGAATTCTATTTTGTAAATTAAGTATTTTGTTCTTCCTTGAATTATTGAATGAATTATTGGTAATGTAGGGTGTATGTCTAATCCACCAAAATTTGTTAAGTAGCTTAAAATGCTTACCAACAACTCAGAGAAATGAAGAAGCCAAACAATTCAAGAATAATGTAGACAGCTGCTGTTGAAACTGGGAGATAAGAAATGCCAATGCCAAAGACAAGGACCGAGTTGCCGTAAGAATCTTTCACAAGACATTTGTCTCTGATTGAATACCAAGCCCATGATACATCAGGAATTGAAAGCTTTTGTGTGGCATACAGTCTTTAGGAAAACAATTTTTCATGGTAAGATTTTAGTTGCACCATAGGCATTAGATACTATTGTGGGAAAACATGCAAGATGGCGTCCTATGCAAAAGAAACAGAAGTGCAAAGAATAAGGGCTGGAATGGCTTTGAAGATGTTCACAGAGAATAAAGGCAAGAGTAGCCTGCCTACTAAAAGGAAGAAAGTGCAATGCTGGGCCCCTCAGGAAGCAGTTGGATTCTGGAAATGTAAGGCTGGCATGGGCTGCCATCCTATAGGCCTTGTACTTAAGTCTCTAGGTAAGAAGAAGAAATGGCAGTGTCAATGGCATTGCTTTCTTATTTTGACTGCTTTCACAGTTCCCTGACTACTAAACACAAACCATGTAACAAGCGTAGGTAATAGTTAATCACCAGGTATGTAGAATTGTGGGCAGTGTTTTAGATTTTCAAAGGAAAAGACGTTAAGAACAATTAAAATTCTAGATAATGATGTATTGTTATTACTAAACATTACTATCCTTAATAAGTCACCTGTGCGACATGATCATTAACTAAATTTTATAGGTCTCTCAGGAGTCAATCAGAAGCAGAACCACTAGTATATGTACAGTATGTGCTACAACATATGCACACATGTATATATTTGTGTTCATATGTATACATTATATAACCCATTTTTGTTATTCATGATAGTTGTATTCTATAAAGTTACTGAGAGCACTGAATTAGCAAGTACTTGTTACTCCTAGGAGAGATACAGGGCAATGCAGTTCCTGTCAAGTTTGCATTTAATGCTGAAGTTTGTATCCCAGAGGAGACAGTTAGTGGGAAAAGTTAGATGTAAAATGGCAGAGAGGAAGAATAAGCCAGAACCCAGAAGCAAGAGCTGAAATCCATCAAAATGAAGATGGATGTAAATCGACATCAGTTCTTACTGCCTTTATCTTTGGTAATATGAGTACCCTATAGAATTCTGTGCCATTTGTCATGGAGCCAAACACACACATACCTGCTCCAGGAGTGAGAAGCAATTGGAGTCCTGACTATTGTCTCACACCACAGAAGGAGCCAGCAGATCAGTGACAATGTGTGTGTGCACTAGAAATGGTTCCTACTTCACTTTAAGGAAATTTTCCACTGAAACAATAAAACTTTCTATGGTGTACCACCCAACCAAAGACATTTAGGAAAAGGAATTCCAGAAAATGTACTTCAGCCTAGCCAGATTTACTCATTTACAATCTGTCACAGTCCACCCCTTGCCAGTCTGGCACTGATATTTATCTCCTTAAAATGTATTTAACCTCCAATTAAAGATATTAATAAAGTCACACTTCCACCTAACGTGATTCAGCCACCATGTACCATGCAAACACAATGGCCCTTCTCCCCAGAAGACGGTACAAAGTCATTTTGGTGTTCCTGTTTGATAATGTTCTCTTTATTTTGTATCCTCTAATTTTAATACTGAAGGATAAAGTTACCATTGACACATCTTATATTAAGTGATAAAGGAATAAGACCAGAGGCAAAACAAAAATAGTACAGAAATACATTTGTAAATATTTTCACGTGAAAATCAAGAACTACAATGATATTCTTCCTTTTTGCAACTGATCCTATAGTTTTAGCTGATATTATGACTGCCTTCTATTTATTTATTTATTTATTTTTTTGGTTTTTCTCTGGTACCAGGAACCGAACTCACGACCTTGCGCTTGCCAGGCAGGCGCTTTTGCCGCTGAGCTAAATCCCCAGCCCCTATGACTGCCTTCTTCCACTAAGCAGTTAGGATTGCCTTTGCTCTCAGTAGGCAGCTTAGCCTGGGGAAATGACCCAAACCTTCATTCATGAAGGATCTGGGCCATTAGAAGTCCTGCCTGAATTAGGTTGTTGTAGTATCCCATTGACTGCAATTACAGGACATACACACTGACACTGTATCATCCCCAGCATTGCAGGCATATTCTTCCTTCCCCTGTATCCCACAGTGTGAGTAGCAGCTCAGTGCTCTTTTGGAAATCACTGTCCATCACGCAGACAGTATAGTAAGCCTTCTATTTCCCACTGATTTGGTGGCATAAGGAGCCCAACATGACAAGGTGGTGGTCTCACCTTCCATTTAATGAAATCACTATTGTGTCACCTGATGGAAACATCTCTCCCTGTGGAACCAAGAGCCTCAGACCAGCACAGCCTAGCATCATGGGTATGAGAAGCAAGTTTTGCTGGTGGGTCACTAGGGCTAATAGGAAGAGAAACCACTTCTCTACCTGCATTTCCAGATCTGTAGTCAATGCAGATTTGGAGCAAATTTCATATCCTGGAAGACGTTGTCTCAGCTCCACAAGGTACTGTCACCTAGTAGTCGTTATAACCGAAACTTGAGAAGGTCATTCCTCCATTCTGCCAGGCCTGTTTCTTGGGGGTAGCAGGGAATTTGAGAGGAGCAGTGAGTGCTGGCAGACGCCAGGCTCTCTGGCCCTCCCACCTGCCACTCCGATGGAAACCAGCTGCCATGTTATAAGCTGCTCTGTGGAGCACTCTGTATGGCAGGGAACTGGAATCTGTCGCCAAGTGCCGGTGAGGACCTGCAGGCTGCCAGTAGCCACATGAGTGACCTTGGAAGAGGAGTCTCCCGAGTGGAGCTTGACATGACTGCAGCCTCAGCCAACACCGTGACTGCAGCCTGAGGAGAGACACTGAGCCAGGGCCACCCGGCTAAGCCGTGTCCTGATTTCTGACCCTCAAACCTGTGAGGTGATAAATGTGTATTGGTTTAGCTGCCAGGTTGGGGGGTGATTTGTTCCACAGCAGGAAGTAATTCACACAACAGGGCTCAACTTCTGCTTTGGTAGTCATTCTAACCTAAGAAGATACAGCCTTAACCCTTCTTTTCAGAGGAAAGCCCTGTGAGACTCATTTAGTAGATTCGGGTTTCAGTGCAACTCCTTCCAAATAGTCACTAAAACCTCAGAGAAGAAAATTCCTTTCTACCCTTGCTCCACCACTGCCACACTAGATTTTCCTGTGCAATTTATCGGAAGACAGCAATTTTCTACTTTATCACTTCCACTTGATCTTGTACTAACTGAGTTATGTTAACTAGTTCTTCACTGACCAAATGTTTTCTTAGAACAGAAGCTGCTTCTCTGGAACTTTCTATTTCCTGTGGAGTTTTGTTCCAAAATATTTGACCTAAATCAGAAAGTGATTTTATATACACTCCCCAGCACGTATTCATTTGATCTTCAGTTATTTATTGAGAATTTACTATGTTCCATACAATATTCTGGGTGCTGAGGATACAAGAACAAACATTTGCTCATCATGAGTATCTTTTTCCCTCCAGAAACTGAAAACAATTGCTCTCTGACCCTTCTATTAGAGGGTAAGATCTTCTGTTTGAAGTTGCTGTAAACATTAGGTTACATCAAATGAGAAGAGTTGAAGGCTAGACCCCACACTACAATCCACACCTACTCATAAAAATGGAATTTTTTAAAACTAAAATCAATGATTTCCCTTAAAGAATCCTTAGAAGCTGTTGCACAAAGGATATTTAGTAAATGCATAAAAGAAAGAGCAAAAGCCAGGGGCAATAGATTGAGCCAGCTATGATGAAAAAAGCAAATACCTGGGCTTCATGGCACATATTGTGTGGTGGTAATGAGAATACAGAGGATACATGCAAATACACCTGGGAGGATCCACACTCCTGAGGAGAAGCAGCTTGGAGGAGGAAAGCAAGGAGGCATCAGTAAACTAGAATACGAGTAACTGGACAATGAAAATAATGCTATCGGAGGTGGAGAGTTGGAGGGAAATCAGCCAAGGGCAAGAGATGGGGAAATTGTTTTGTGATCTGTTTGACTGAGGGGATGGCAGATGAGAGGATGGCAGGGAATTCAAATAGAAATGGCCAAAAGATTTTGAATTGAAACATACAGATTTCTCTGATCAGTGGTCTCATTATCTGTAATTTAAAATGTTAATGTCATTCGAAGATTTCAACGTGTATACTGATCACAAAAGAGTAATGCCTACTCGGACTGTGCATTCAGCTTATGAAGTCTTTTCTTTTTTAAGGCTTGATAAATTATTTTTTCCTTAAGTTGTAAAATACTTTTATCTTTTGACTGAAACTTGCAAATCATAGCAGTGAGTTTGCCTATGAAAATATGTACTCATTTAATACTTTATTTTCCATTATAATTAAATGCATTTCCCAAAATAGATGTATTCATCATGACAGACTCTTTCTATGAATGGTATAGAAAGGCTTATGCCTTTCTATGAATGGTATATCAGATATAATAAAATTTTATGTAAAATATCACCAACAATTATTTTACTACAATCATATTATTTTTGTTTTTCTGGAATAGTAGATAGCTCATAGTTGGCAGTGTAGGACCTCATACTTAACTTGAAGTTGAACTTTATTTTAACTTTTAGTGAGTGGTGAATATTTAAGAGGTCTTGAATGTGTGATAAGTGACTAGTTCCTCCTTCTTTTATTTGTAGTGTTTTCTACTAGTAAAATTGTCCAGGTAAGGATACCCTTTTTCAGAGAATGGTTAATAGGATCTATGGTTAGTTTATAGTCTATATTCTGCTTGTTTGTTATAAATTGGCAAAAACAAATATCTGCCTTGCTTCTTCTATGGAAATGTTACGTAGACAACTTTTATAGTTTCTGGAGATACACTTTGAGTTCACCAGAAGGAAGATACTGTAAAAATGTAATGCACTACTCTATATTCTCATTAGACGTATTAGAATTTAAGGGTTCTTTTAAATACTATTAATATGTTAATCTTATAGAAGTCAAAAGACATTTATGGAAATACTCTCTCTTCCATTTTCCTGCCTCTAATTCTATTCATAAGCAACAGATAACTTATTTATTCATAAGTCTCTGTGACACTGAAAAGGTCACCAAGTAGTACCAGAAACTAGAACTTCTGAAAGATAGAGAGTGTTGTAAAAGAATCATAAGAGAAAGGAATAGTTGAAAGAAAAATCTGTAGACATTAAAGTGGAAAGAGACATTGGGGTAGCAGTAAAGATGAAACTAGAAATGGTCTTGGGCCTCTTCGCAAAAAGATCTTACATGATTCCTGACTGTGTATAAGGAGGTGTTCCCCCAGGAAAAACAGAAAATATTAATGCTTGGAAAGAGACAAAGTTACAAAATACCAGTATCTTCGGACTTCTTACAAGTCTGGGCACAGCTTCCTTTGCCAGGCACATGACTGACAGGATGGCCTTTGGCAGACTGGTTCTACCTGGGGTGACGTTCTGGGTAACCGCTGCTGCACCCCCTCCAGGTTCTCCTAACTGCTCTTGGGTATGCTTATGCCAGCCTTATGCAGCCCTTCAGAGTGTACTAGTACCAGACATTACCCCAGGTACCAGGGACACCACCAGTGAACTGCAACAGATTAGGATCCCACACAGAAGTTGCCTTCTTCTAGGGGAGACAAGAACAAAATAAATTAGCAAAGTGTATTGTATTAGAGAGAGTTAGGAGAAAATATAAAGCAGGAAGAGAAGATCTGAGTAAGTGTGGGAAGAAGAGATAACTAGATAGGTGGCCAGAGAGGTCTCAGTGAGAAGATGACATTCCTACAGCATTCCTTATAGTGCAGATTCACTCCACCTTCCTTTAATACAGACCTGCTTTGCCTGTTTATAAATCCTGTCCTTGGACTTCAGCTATCAATATAGCTCTGAAATCAGCATCCTTACTCTCTTCCAGCAATCCCCTGTTCTCAGTCCTTAAAAACATGACTTCCTCCTCGACCCACTTTACCGGTTCTCTAAGGTTAATGGCACCATAAGACATGGTTACCAGAGAATGACTAGGTTTGTCCATGGTTCCTGAAGTAGCACATATAGGAAAGTGTAACATTTGTACAGCATTCTGGGTTCACAAAGTCTTTTATAGTTCAGTGGTGAGTGGACTGAGTCTTGCTGCTCTAAGTATCTCCTGTGTGACTTGAAGGATGAGTATCTTAACATACCTGTCACCATACTGTAGCAGGCATACAGGATGGAAAACTACCTTATAGCACCATTTTCTACCTACTGTTAAAGACCTGAAGCTACGTTCACTAAAACCATATTGTCTAGACAGCTTCCATCACAGTGTTCCTTGGCCCTGCCACGGCGTAGGCTTGTCTTGTTCAGCCAACCTAGAACCCTTGACATAATTCTTGGCACATCAAACTTAGAGAGATAACGGTATAATATTAAAAAAGAAGAGAAAAAACCAAATAAATGTGTTATGGGTTAAGAAATACACTTGGAAAAATTATACTTAGACGGGCCATTCTCATTGTGGATGTAGAAGAGGGCAGTTGATAACACGTACCTGACTGACAGCCCCCATTTTCCCATCAGCTCAGGAAGTGCAGTGTTAGCAATTACTAGGTGAATTTCAGTCATGGATAAACTCCCAGTGTAACCCCGATTTTTCTTCGGTTAAATAGTCCAGATTGACTGTTCACACTGACTGACCTTACTGAATATTTGCTAAGTATTCACTTCACTTAACTGGTGAAAACACCTCTTGAGGAAATGACACAATGGAGTTATATCTCGTCTTTGTTAGTGAATAATCACTTCTTTCTAAAGATAGTAATGAAAAATCAACAGTAATTGCCTGTAGAATATGGTGTCACTCAGAATGTGTAGACAAGTTGAGTTGTCTAATATGTTTTTAGACACAGCTCAAATTAATTAAGTAATTGAAAATCTATACTTTGCCTTGTAAACAGACCTTAAAATTCTAAGCAAATTAGCATATATGATACTGTACCATTTTTGACTGCATGTATAGCTCAAGAATTGTAGCATTCCTCTTTCCATTCAAAAGATGCAGGCTAATATGTTAAGTGATGTTTTCATTAACTAAATAGCACGTTTCAGGGAGTTTCTGTTCATTGCCATAGAATTGGCCTTGTAGCTTTTATTTACCAGTTAGTTCTCCTAGTCATTGTTCCACGCTCCCTTATAATTATTAGTTAACGTAAGGGATGAGTATTCTAAAAGTTGACCACCAGGAGTTCTGTTTTCTCAGTGAATCATTCATTATAAGTACTTAATCAGGAACTCTGGCGCAGTAATTGGTTAGAGAATCTCTTAAGATAACCCATCTAAAAACAAGATCTTTATCCATGTAGATCACTAACATTTGCCCTGGTTATAATCAGGTCCAATAATATCCTATGATTTTTGACTCTCTTCACAGTAATCAAAGTGAATATAAGTAGTCTCACTCCAGAAATCTCACTTTAAAAAAATTAAAAATAACCACCATGTTTTTTACAGCTTTCTGAACCAATTTGTGAAAAATCTTTCGAGGAATTTGGCAGTAAAGGTGGCAACTCTTCATTTACTGAGCTATCTCTTCTCTTTAAAGATAAAACTAATTATTTTTGGAATGCTTTTAGATAAATAATAATATGAATTTGTATTTGTAGTTGAAAATGACTTGTAAGTTAATATAGAAAAGCTATTATTTTTACTGTCCCCAGAGCAGTGTCTTGTGACTTTTAATATTGTGTCTGTAATCATCAGAAAAGCCAGCCCTGGCTTCTGGTCTCTTGCCTGGAGCCTCTTGGTCCTGCTATTTCACAGAATCACATCTTCTTTTTTTTTTTTTGGTATGGGGAATTGAACTCAGGACCCTGCGCTTGCCAGGCAGGCGCTTGTGCCGCTGAGCTATACCCCCAGCCCCACAGAATCACATCTTACCTGGCCCGCAGGTCTCCCTTTCCCCTGTCAACCTGTGCTGTTTGCTTGGACCCACTTGCCTTCTCTCTGCGTGCACGTTGTGTGCCTCCTGTGGGGCCCTGGGGCCCCAAGTCGGCCTGCTGTCATCCATACGTCCCCTGTCTGCTCCAGCGGGCAACCTGTCTGCCTGCTCTGTCTGGTCACAGACAGACTGACAGCATGTCACAGTGATAAATCTGTCTGCTGGCAAAATACTTTAAAACATACCCCTTCAGAGAGACAGCGTTGCTTTCTAGAGGTGATTTGGAACATGTAAAATAAATATCCTTTGGTACTAAAATGAAAATTCAAAATGAACATTAGGCACTATACATAGTGCAAATATTTTCCATTTATAAAATCCCAAGATATTCTGAGTTGATCACTGTGTTAAAAATCACAAGTACAGTATAATTTTTAAAGTTTTTATTTCACCATACTTAAAACATGGTCCTTTTCTATAGGAAAATAGTTCTACTTAATAATAAATTCTGGGAGATAATTAGCTTGATCAGTGACAAGTCTGTAGGTGTGAAAATTGATTTAATTGATATTTGATGTCTAAATATTCTTTGAGACTTTGTACCAGTATTTCTGTCTATAATGTCTATTAATAGCTCCTTCAAGTATACATATCTCTGACTACTCAATATGTTATACCAATATATGAAGAAATCACGTACCAGCTAGTTTATAGATGTTTTCTGTAACCACATGGCACAATCTTTAACAGAATTCAGTTGTGTTACATGATTTCTTAATTTCCAAAATACTATAGAAATTCCTTGTTGAAAGTTTAGGCAAGAAACATACACATTATTTTAAGCTTTCTGTTGCAGTGATTTTTAAAACTAAGACTTTTAAACAAAACTAACATTTTCCATGAACTGAAAATCAATATTGGCTTGAAGATTCTCTTACTAGCAAATATTTCAGAAGTTTAAAACAGTAATATGAAAATTTTCAGATTTTTACTTGTACTCACATTTGATAAATTGACTTCAAAGAAATTTAGAGTCTTCTTCAATTTTAATTTATGTGGCATAGTAGCCAGACCTTTCCTGCTTAGTGTCCAGAAGGAACGTGATTAAATTTAAAATAAGACGTTAATTTACGGCCACAAATGTAAGTGATTAAATATAGCCAATATGTAGAAAGCTGCTATATGTGAAATTAGAGATAGTCAATTTGAATTTTAGAGTGGCAAGTATAGTCTTCCATAACCACTGTTGTTTAGGTTTTTGCAGTTCTTCTCTCATGAAGAAATAGTCCCTCACAGTTATTTTGTTTTGCTTTCTTCAGAAAAAATACCCAGAATGTAAAATTAACATAAGGAACAAATTCAAACATTTAGGAAATCTAAATTTAATTTTTATGAATTAATTATTATCTTAGTTGTTCCCCACAAAATGATAGGATAATTCATGTCCTATCCCAAATTTGACTTTTTCTCC